GAGAGAGAGAGAGAGAGAGAGAGAGAGAGAGAGAGAGAGAGAGAGAGAGAGAGAGAGAGAGAGAGATTTCCATCGACAGGATGAACAACACACTGTCACCAGGTAAGTCTCCAACCCCGCGGCTGGCACCACGCTACTTCCATCGATAGGATGAGCAAAATCGAATGAATCTACCGCTAGAACATGGAAATATACACATGTTTTTTTTTCGTTTTTTTTTTTGTTTTTTTTTTTTGTTTTTTTTGTTTTTGTTTTGTTTGTTTGTTTGTGTGTGTGTGTGTGTGTGTGTGTGAGAGAGAGAGAGAGAGAGAGCGATTTCCATCGACAGGATGAACAACACACCGGCCAACAGGTAAGTCTCCAACCCCGCGGCTGGGCCCACGCTACTTCCATCGATAAGATGAGCAAAATCGAATGAATCTTCCGCTAGAAAATGGAAAGCAGGACAAGGCAGCAGTAAGCGGGCGGGCAACGGCAAGCTGACCGGGCAGGCCCGATGGCCGCAAACCAGGCCTCTCGTCTTTCCCCGCCGGCCACGAAACGGCACTCGGCTTTTCCCTCGTGCCACACGCCGGATTGTGGGCCCGATGGTCGCTGCGAGTTTGTTTCTGACCCGTCACCCAGGGTCCCTAACCTGAAGACGGGGTCTCGCGCCGGCGTCACACGAGACCCGGCTTTTCCTCTAGTAGCATGTAGAAAAATCTGACAAAATGCCAAAACCTCTAGTAGTTTAAACAGGTCAATAGTAATCTACAGAGTCCTCATCCTGAAACCAAGCCATAAGCAGTACACCCCTAAGCCCTAATCACCACCATCCATGTCAAAGGGACATCCAATGCTCAAAACAAATGCGATTGTAACTCGTATTGTAAACCGATTTTGAAGGCATTTCACCAGTTGAGCTAGAGACTTTCACCATTTCGAGCCTTATTCACCGCCTACGTTCTGGACCTACCGAATATCAAAAGTTGCCCAGAAATGACTTTCGTGACAGTAGTCAGAATTTGCAAAATGAGGAATGAAATAGAAAATTTGGAAATAGCATTCTTTCCCAAATAGAAATAGAGTTCACTTTTTCGGCGTCTTGGCTAGTACCAAGTGTATCTGTTCTGTCTAAGGGCATACTCACACTAGCACTTTCTTTAATGTATCTGGCTGCAATTATGGCTGGATCTGGATGAATATGACTTCACGTCTGGAGTGTAGTAGAAAAAGGTCCTACTCTGGGGTATGCCCTAAGTGTGACCACTCCCTTGCCTCTAACAATAGTCTTTTATTATGACTATGCCCTCAAGTGGTCCTGCTGTGGCCATACCCTGGGCTCTGACAGCAGACCAGGATATTTTGTTGCCCATCTAGCCTACTGGCATATGAGCAAGGGCTGCTGGTGCTGGATGACACGGCTGCACTTTAGTAGTAGTAGTAGTAATAGTTGTTGTTGTTGTTTTGCTGTCTGATGAATTAGACCAAAGTAGTTGGCTTGCCTGTTTTTTAGCTGTCGTTGCTCTGCTATGGCTGCATGCCTTGGACTGCGTCAGCTTTTGGTGCGAAGATCTTACTAACGCTGACTGTGTTTTACTATTGGATTGTGCTTGTGACAGTTGATTGCAAAGGTTCTGAGCCAGTGTGTTTCGCAGATTGATGAGAAAGACCACTACCAGTTGCTTCTCCAGGTGGGGATCACATCCACTTCGTCGGCCTACTCTGCGGAACCATTCATTTTGTGTATGTGTATTCAATCTCGTGCACACGCGCACACGCGCTCGTGTGTGTGTGTGTGTGTGTGCGTGTGCGTGTGTGTGTGTGTGTGTGTGTGTGTGTGTGTGTCTGTTTACTGTTTCGTCCCGCCCGTTGCCACTGTATTCGCTGTTTTGTCATATCACTCTGTCCTGGCCTTTTTCTCCTATCCTGGCCTATTTTCCTATCGGGGCCTTCGACAAGAGAAGGAATGAAGTTCAATGAACTGTTCTCTTTTCTGTCCTGTCCTTTCTGATCTCCCCAGCTGTCCGCTTCTTCTTCGAATAGGATGACTGTTTTTTCACCCATGCATCAAAGACAAAAAGTATTGTGCAGGCTGAAATCTGTTTTTCGTAGTGTGAAATTGCTTTTTGGTGCAAGAAGAATTCGTTAAATCAGTTCAGCTAAAATGTCGAGTTTGTTATACCTTTCACTTAATTTTGCTGAAATCAGTTCGCATCTGATCTAACTTGGAAATTCGATCCGCCGAATATCGTTTGGAAACTGACGAATTCGATATGGCTTTGTCCCAATTGGTTCGTTTTTCTTATCAAACTTACCTGACCAAAGGAGTATGTCCCTCACCTGATCTTTTTGCAGTTTCTAAACAAAGTTTGAAATTTTGAATAGTAAGCTTGAGAAATAAACTATATAAGCATAGCACCTGGAAATGTGTCTGGTTGGGTGTTCGCATCTGTGTTCGCGTGCATGTAAAAAGAAACAAAGGAACTTTTCCTATTCCCCTACATGATTCATGCTGACCTCTCGCAACTCCCCCCTCCCTGCCATGACCTCTCCCCCTCAGGACCTGAAATGCACTTTTTTATTGCCTCGTTACCCTCGTACGCATATCTGGCTGGTCATGCCCGCTCCCGGTGTCCACCAGACGTTCACGGGTCTCACATGGATGGCCCTCATTGCTGCTATGGTATGTGTTCTAAGCTTCAACGTTGAGGTAAATCTGACTTTCACCCAGCAGCTGGTTGTCTGAACCTTGGTTAAAAGAAATTTAAGTTATTTAACAGAATAAAAACTGTGCAAAAGTACAAATTTACTATGTTGGGCTGTCGCCCGGCCCGGCACGCCCGGGCCAGTTGGGCAGAGGGGGGGTCGCCCGGCAACACCAGACGGGTCAAAAAAGAGGCAAGGATCCCCCCCCAAAAAAAAAAAGACTTCAGGCCAGGACTGCACTTGGCCCAAGCAGTCAGAATCCGGTCTTAACTTCGGTTTTGGTGATGGGTCATCCAGGGGGGGTTGGGGGGTATAAACAGTTACTAAAGGGCTTAAAAGGGCACATTTGGATCTTTTGGGACTCATGTTTTCTCATTTATTTTTTATCTTGAAATTAACAAGGAATTTCGAGGTGGCCCTCAGCCAAAAGTCGTTTATATCTGAGTGGGGATCCGGGCCGCCCGGGTGACAGGCAGGGGCCCGGGGGAGGTCCCGGGCGGCCTGGCCAGTGCAGGGCACCCGGTTGGGGGCCGG